ACAGGAAAGCCAAAGGCTCCCAAATGAAGTTTGGGGACCCAGAGTAAAGCATGTACTCTGTACCCTTAATTCTTAATTGTTCTTAAACACCCTCCTTTGCATTTGAATAGCATTAAGCTCTTGCTTCTCTCCCTACATAATGAATGTATAAAAAGTGACAACAGAGAGTCTGGGAACAATGGAACCTTCTATTGCCACTTCAGGGCCTTTATAAGTGGATGTTGTGCCAAGACAGTCAGAGGGCTGGTTCTAGTGGCAAAGCATTCCTCCCCCCACTAACTCTGAAAAGACTCTCATGCTGTTGACATAATTATGCCCTCTTTAATATTACTGTTTTATTTTTAAAAGCGATTAGCTATTTAGTTTCCTTTGCCGAGGAGGAAAGGAAATTAAGTATCTCGGGCTGGCTTCTCTGAGTTGTACCCACTGCCTCCTGCTAGCCATGAAGTCTGCTTTCTCAGAATTGGAATTCTGGAACAAAAGCTACCTTCAGGGCCCTGGGCCTGCCTTTCTCTACCTCTAGTATCTATACCTGGGTGTTCAGCTAGGTGTCCTGCCTTACGCACAGCCCTGTGGTAGATCATTTCCGAGAAGCTGGATACACTGTGGAGATCGTTTTACAGATAGACTAACAGAGACAAGATGTGTAACTCAGCCAAGTTTCCACAGCAAGGAAATGATGGAACAGGATTACACCCAGTCGGGATTCGAGACAGCCTCGTCATATCAACCATAAAAAGGTTCTAGCCACTGTCAGAGAGGAAAATGAAGAACAGACATCTTACTTTGATTTTGAGAATTTTCTGATCCACGAGGAAGCCAGATATTAGCCCTCAAAAGCCAGGCGCAAACTGCAAATGCTTGTGAGAAACTGTTCAACTGCTGTGCCGATTTATCCTTTCCGCTAGAAAAAGAGAGCCCACAAAACCATTACTTCTTGATTAAATGGAAAAACACTTCATTCTCTCCTAATCGAAATCTCAAATATATATACATGTCTGGTGGTGGAGGGCAAGAGATCACCCTTTGACCTGCTATTAGTTGATCTCAGTAAAAAAGCAGAAAAAACCTAACCATACCATGGCCATAGAGTTAATTCAGAGTCAACGACCCTCTAGAGCAGAGGTTCTCAACCTGTGGGTCCTTACCCCTTTGGAGGGTGTTGAACAAACCTTTCACAGGGGTCGCCTGATTCTAACAGTAGCAAAATTACAGTTATGAAGTGTGCAACGAAAATAATTGTATGGTTGGGGGGTCACCACCACATGAGGGTCACGGCATTAGGAAGGTTGAGAAGCACTGCTCTACAGGGTTTCCTAGACTTTGCCAATCTTTACTGGAGAAGACAGTCTCATCTCTCTCCCTCAGGAGTGGCTAGTGCGTTTGAATAGCCAGCCTTGCAGTTCGCAGCGCAGCACTTAGCCGGCAGCGCCACCAGCCCTCAAAGTCAGTGCCTTGGTGATTCATCGACACATTCCAGAGTTAGCGTATGGCAGAGCTCTGAGTTTTCCATCCCAGTCTTGACTCCTCTATTCCCCGGACAAATGAGGTCCCCTACAATAAGTGCATGCAGTCCCGTTGCTGTGCACCTCCTCAGGAGACCCATGTCCCACATGACCTGTGCCAGGGGCTTGAGCACTGGAGGATAAGTGCCCAGCCCTGCTCTGAAGGGCCCATGGGCAGCAAGGGCTGCTGTTCTACGGACTGACATGGAAAGCTCTTATTTGCTTCCAGAATGAGGCCAGCCCTGGACCTCTCGTATGGGTAGTAAAGGGCCATTAGCAAATTTCCTGGGTGTCACAAATGATGTGCTCATCTACTAGCCTAAACATCGGCAGATCAAACCCACCGAGCACGCCTCTGACAGTGTGCGTCCACAAATGTTACACCCAAAAAAACCCTGCAGAGCACTGCTGCTTTCTCACCCATGGGAGATCACCACGAGGCAAAAATCTACTCAACAGCAAGAGGCTCCCGTCCAGCTGGCTCCTCTGGAGCTGCTGGCCTTTACCATGGCTGAAGATGGCGGTGCAGTGCGTTGTTATCCTTTGTGCTTTAAGTATTCACTGCAAATATTCCCATTTATAGCTCCAAATATGGGTCTAATTATTCTTCTTTGTATGCTGGTCTTCCTGGCTTTCTGTCTTGAATGTTTCTTCTCTCCTCAGTAGATCCTAAGGAAGGTTAAGGAAGGCCTGGGGGAGCAATTCTAAGTGGACAATACAGGACCCAAGCACCTGAGCTTTGGGGGTGTATCTTTAGCCACAGCCAGCCGTGCCACCCTGCCCCAAGAGTTGCCCTGTGACAAAGCTTTTAATATGCAGATGACTATGGACTAGGTGGGAGCAAGGGGGGTGGTGAAGATACAGCAGAGGACCTCTACAGAGCAAAGAGAATGTGAGCAGGAAGTTTAGAGAACACTGGTGCCAAGGCTGTTTTAGACCAAAAACAGTGGTCGGGGGACTCGTCAGCACGGAAATGCACTTCCACATATTTCAGAAGGGGTCTTGGTGGGGTAGCAGCTGATGGGGGTGGGGGGAAGGAGGCTGCTCACTTAAAGGTCAGCAATTTGAAACTATCAGCTGACCCTCGGGAGAAAGGCCAAGCTTTCTGCTCCTGTAAAGATTTGCAGCCCTGGAAACCCACAGAGCAGTTCAGCTCTGTCCTGAGGGTTGCTGTGAGAACTGACTCCACCGCAGTGAGTTTTGTTGATTTGTTCTTGTTGTTAAAGAGCCTTCATGATGCGGCCGAGTAAGCACTGGACTGCGAACCTGAAGGGTTGGCAGTTCACACTCACCAGCTACTCCCGGGTAGAGAGGTCTGTTCCTATAGAGATTTACAGCCGTGACACCCCATTCAGGGAGTCCACTTGTTGGCAGTGGTAGATTGTGATATGGTATTCATAGGCAAACTCACTTAGAATCTGAGGGAAGAAAATAAATTTGGAATTTGGGTGATTAAAGACATGTATGGAAGACATGTTACATTATATCGTTAACTTATAAGGGAGTATATTAATTCTTTGCATTGTCCAGATTTCTGTTTTATATTAAAGCTATGATTTGGTTTACTCTTTAATTCTGTATTGTAAATAAAAGTTTTTACCTGTAGGCCAGAAACATTATTTAAATTTTATGTTTATTGACTCACTCAGTAGTGTCAGCCGTATTCAAACTTGTTAGGCAGAAGAATGAGTTCATTGAGCAAAACTAAGTCCAAAAACAAATGGGTGGATTTCTTCAACACTACATGCGATTGGAAGGCAGGTTCCTCCGTGCCAGTCACCCTGAGCAGTGTCTCAGTGGCTGAGGGGCTCCAAGGCAGCGAAGCCCTTCCTGAGTGATGGGCTGCGTTGCATATTGCTGATTGAGCTTTCAAAGCTTCCCAGCCACAGGGTTACCAGGGGCCCGGAGATGTCAGAGGACTGGGAAGTCAGGGTTTCTAGACTCAGGCATTCCTAATTTCTGCCCTGCTTGCTTTCTAGCCAAGGCTTTGACCCCAACAATAGCCCTCTCCTCTCTGCCCTCTTTGCTCAAATGAAATTCAAACTAAGCACTTGGTTTAAGATGAACAGGGATCAAGGGCTCCTGTGATCATTGGTGGGGAAAGCTGTCATTCTGGTACAAAAGTGGCAACTGACCCCATCCATGGCAGGGGACAGGATTATCAAGAGAGTTCGCAGACAAGTCAGGAGTCAGATATGCAAGTGTTTCGGGCACTGAGTGTCCTGCTTGGCATTTCACTCTGATCAGAGGAGGGGAAAACATTGACACCGATCCTTCTGGCTTGCTGGTCTGCGAGGGTTTTGTTGTCCTGTCACCACCACCTCCTCCTCCTCCGCCAGGGCCATTGCACTGTAGTGGGAGAGTGTGTGGGGGGTGATTACATCAGTCCGAGGGAAGGACGTGATTGGTCTGCAGAACATGGTTTGATTCACTACCTAAAGGACTGTGTGTGAGGAAGGCTGCCTTTGAGCAAGCGTCTTCCCTGCCTGCCCAGAAACAGCCTTCCTGCCAAGAGCTCATGCAGGCTTGGCACCGCCATCCATTGATAGCACCAGGACCCTGGCAGTACAGCCCAGCCTGTCAGGTACAGGGAGGAGAGGCCAGCAACAAACTCCCTTTCAAGAGGCACCCTTTATTTAAAATGCCATCTTGTTCTTCTGACTGCTGCCTTTTCCATGCTGCTGAGGTAAGATTTTTTTTTAAAAAGCATCTCACAGTCTCCTAAAGGGAGCCCCTCCCTGTGGGTGATAGTTGCTCGGGCATGGCATGTTTATAATGCTCTGAAACTCCAGGTGTCAGTCATCTAGTCTGGGAGCTATTGATTTTTAAGAAATGTGAAGGATTCTAGAAAAAGGATCCTCGCTAGTCGGGGCTTTTTGGTTTGTGCCTCCTCTCCCCTCCATGGTAAAAATTATAAAATCTCAGGGTCTTCGTATTACTGTATCTCAGCTTCTTCTAAGCCAATGTGACGCAAGTCGGGGGTAGAGTTCAAAGGGCACTGAGCATCAGCCACTCGAATCGGGACCCTGGGAGGTACAGTTATCAAAAGTTGTGACGGATGGAGGGAGAGAGTAGGCCAGGTGTATTTCGTTGTCTGTTCTTTACAGTCGGCTCAACTGTAAAATTTCCAACCCTGAGGCCACCCGCAACATTTTAAACCGACGCTGCCCCTGCCTAAGAAAGGCCATTGAGAAACAGCTGGTGGACTTCAGTGGTGTGCTGGGCACCCCTGAGGAGTGAGGAGCATTTTCAGACTCGGGTGCCTGTGAGATTGCTGCCTGCTCTGCGGCCCTCTGAAGGGGCACGTGGGGTGCGGGCAGGGAACGTCCCCCGTGGGTACGCCACTCCTGTTCCTGCGACTGTGGTCGCATGGTGGATGGAAGAGCCGTTATACATATGTTGGAGCCTTTCTGTATTTTTGTTGTCTTTATTTCAGTGTTTTGGATTCAAATAACAAAATTGCCTACCTGTAAGTATCCTCTTTTTATGTTGCAGGATGTTAAAGTCTTTAGTGAAGATGGGACGTGCAAAGTGGTGGAAATTCTAGCAGACATGACAGCCAGGGACCTGTGCCAATTGCTGGTTTACAAAAGTCATTGTGTGGATGACAGCAGCTGGACGCTAGTGGAGCACCACCCGCACCTAGGATTAGGTAGGGAACAGCCCTGGGTGGTGATGGTTCTCTGGGAACAGGGTCTGGGGGTGCCCAGCGTGCAGCCTCCTGAGGGCAGTCTCTGCGCAGTGTCGCATACCTGATTGCAGCTCCCACTGCCAGATATGCAGGTGGCTTGAGTGTTGCCCTCAACTCAGCTCCCCATTGATGCTTTTCCTCTTCCTCTAAACCTCCCTCCTTTCTCTTTCCTCCCTGTTCGTGCTTTCTTTACCCACCAGTGTTTTGATGAATATTGCGCTGGCACGGTGGAAGCAATACTTTCCAAAGGACCTAGACAAATCAAGAAGGTTCTCGCTGTAATTTAGTGGTTAGTCTCTCACCCCAACCCCTGCCCAGGCCCCAGGCCCCAAGCTGGAAAATCCGTCTGGGAGAGGAGTGTGAGGTTTGCTGCACATCTTTGGCCTGGGGTTGGGGGCAACCTCATGGTACCCTGGGGAGCTTGTAAGCTTGCACAATTGTGGCTCTAGTTCTGGGGCTAGCAGAGGCACATCCTCGTGGAGAACAGTTCACTGCCTAATTGAAATAGGCTGCCATGGTTACAGTCAGCAGGAAAGCACATGGAGGTGCGCTGGGAATTGAAGCACATTATAAATCAATTGGACCTAAGTGTGAATCTGACACAGTATTTCTGACACACACACAGAGTGTGTGTGTGTGTGTGTGTGTGTGTGTGTGTGTGTGTGTGTGTGTGTGATATAAAAGAAATTTTGATCAGAATATCTGAAACTATTATTGCAGAAGCAGTTGGGTTTTCTGTTCAGAAGGCTTATTTCAGGTTAGAAGCTTTTCACATACCTTCGCTGGCAAATTGCTTCGAGTCACTTTATGTCTCTTTTGCTTAAATAATCACTGGATAATGTATGATGCTCACAAAACCATTGGCAAGTGTTTAAAGCCAGAATGTCTTCCAAATCAATAGCTATATATCTTCCAGGATGGAGGGGTGGGTGAGTAGGGGAGATTACACAGATTCCAGACTCCCATCGTTTAAAATTTTTCTTTTTAAGTGTTTTTGAAAGATTCAAGAAATTCAATTTAAACCTCCAGATTTAGAATATTCTTTTCTTAAAAACTAAATAGCGTTCCTCCAAGGTAGACTGTAAACTCCAAGCATAAATAGTGTCACTTAAGCTTGAAGTGACCTTATTTCAAATCACAGCGGCCAGTTTCCCCTGTATTTTCGGGTGCACAGTGTGTTTCTTACAGTAAGCCACGAGGAACACTTCATGATTTACTTCCTGTCTCTGTTGATTACCAGAGTACCGGTGGGTAAAGAGACCATTTCTTCCCGGTCATTAGCAGCAGCCTCCTCCACCAGGTTCATTCACTGATGCCCCAGTTCAGTGACAGCGATGTCACAGTGGCTCCCTAGAAGGCTAATTCCCCGGATGTCCAACTCTCGGTTGGAACGTCCGTGGAGAAAACTGCCACTGGATGAGTAACGTCATCGCAAGCCCTTGTTTACACACAAATAGCTTGGAAGTTAAGCAGTGGTGGGAATAAATGGGTATATCCAGAATTCACTTTTAAAAGTCTTGGTATAGGTGGGCCCAAATAGGATGGATATTATTAGAAGTTCATTTGCAAATCGGAATGCTGTTTTAATAGGAACTCTATGGACATGACAATGTATGTATGTGATGGCACAGATGTTGCCATGAGTAGGAACTGACTCGATGGCAGTGGGTTTTCTGAGTTCGAGAGAACATAGGGGGTGGGTATACAAAGAACTTAATTTCTAAAATATCACACAGTAAGTTAATTTTATACTAAACTTTGGACATAATGAATCGTTCTCAAGATGTAGAAAAATCAGTGCATACTTATGTGATGTTCTTAAGAATTAGGGATTCAGTATTGATATGACTTACTCTTTTCCACAGACACTTAATATTCACACTCTAAAAGGTATAATACTGAATTTTGAAATCAAGTATAAAGTGAATAAAAAAGCTGGGGAAAGTAAGCAATGATGCTTTTAAAAAGAAACATGTGAATCACATTTGGGGTCTTACTGACAGAAATCAATGATTAAACCTCCTATGGTCAGGAAAACACAAATCTCAGAACACTCCTCATCAGTTTCTTCTCCCTCTCCAGCTTCTGCCTCATTAGCACAAAATGAACGCACCCCGGTGGGCTGGGTTGTAGAGGCAGAATTTAGAACCAAGAGTTGCTTTCTTCCCACCACTCGCTGGCATTTGGTTATCAAACACTAGCTGATGAGGAAAGTGAGCACACCAGATCCCCTCCGTGCCCATTGGTGAAGGAGTGTCCTAAGTCCCCTCCGTGCCCATTGGTGAAGGA